GTAACTACTCTTTGGGTATGTACATGTCGCTGTATGGTGATGTTGCTATGGTATCATGCTTTAGTACTTCCTTTTGGAAGTACTAAAGCATGGCGCAGTAGAGATGAGTACTGTGCCACGTGTACAGCGCACGGTTAAATTTTACCATTATGTCACCATAGCAGCATGTTATACCTGGGAAGTGTGCCATTATGTTGACATGTAGCTGGTGATCATGTGTAGACACACGTGATTGCTATGTTGTCATAGTACATCATACAATGACATAGTGTGCCACTACATCACTGTAAGGTGATGTGTAGATGCACCCTTTGAGTACAATGGTCCAACCTTAGTTTAGTAATGAGAATGTCATGGGAGGAAGTGTTGAAAACTTGCTAAGGCTGAGGTATATATTTTCTTGAAACAATTCTAATAATTTCATCATGAGTAAATACATTTGTCAATGCAGTTTCCACAGATATCAGCACTACCAGACAACCCACTCTGCCTTGTATCTTAATTATGCCAACCCTCTGAGGAACAGGGAGTCTATAACCCTGGAAGTTTTCCAGATTCATCCTAAAAATGTGAGATGCCAAACAGGATCCCCCTAACTGTTCCATTGTTATTGAATATACTCATAATGCTAAAGAGATACCATCAGCTAAGCAGAGAGTGGAACTTATCCCAGGAATCATCACAAACAGTTTCAATGGCTAATATCTTCCTGAAGCTGATAGAGCCTTCATTATACAAATAACCTTCCACTAAAGCAGATACAAGCTTAATTTTTCCCAGTTGTCTTGTTTCCATCAGAAATGAAAAGGAGATTCTAATTATCCACTCTATAGAACTGTGAAATGCCATAAGCAGAATTAAGAAATAAGGCAGACCAGATTGCCTGGTAGTGCTGATTACTACAGACTTCCGGTTAGTACTGATGCATAAGGCAAAACTAAATTTATCCAACTCGTGTGCTTTGATCAGTGTTTCTTCAAAGTGTAAATCTTAATGCCACAAAATACTTATTTTAGAAAGTTTTAAAATATGCTTGAAAACATTCTTATGACCTGGGCAACTGGAGGAGTCTGGTTTGTCTTAAACCAGCAAGGGGTCTGGGACAGACATTGCATAAACCGGTAGGGCTGTGTGAAATTTTGCCAGGTGTTTCATTTTGAAGCTGTTTTGACATGTTTTGAGCTCAAAAGAGCCAAATCAAAATGAAACAACAGGCTTTGAAACACCTTTGAAACAAAGTGAGTGCACTTGAAATGTTTTGAAAGTTTTGAAACATTTTGAGTTTTGGAGCCGGGCTTACTTGGCTTCAGTGCCGGTCCCAGGCAACAGTGGCAGCCTCCTGTCATCAGACGTGCAGATCTGGAGGCCTGGCCCCCTGGGACAAATCTGGCACAGCCCCACAGCTCTCCTGGAGGTGCAGGCCTCCATATCTGCATGCTGGATGACAGGAGGCTGCCGCTGCTGGCAAGTGTCACGAGTTTTGCTTTCACCAGTTTGAGGTGCCATTTCCCAGAAGCCTGTGCACCTATCTCCTTGAAAATTGGCAGGCTTCATGCCCTCAGAAGGGGCTACCATCCCTACAATTTTCATCCAAATCAGGCAAGCAGTGACAAAGTTTTAGGTATTCTCATGATTCCCCATTATGGCCCATGGGTGAAATGTCAAAACAGTGAAACAGGTTTGGTTAAATGAAATGGAACAGTGCTTCAAAACAAAATGAAACAACAAAACAACACTATCCCTTCAAAATGGTGAAATGGACATTGAAATGAAACAGTGTTGTTTTGCACAGCCTTCTAAACCAGTTTGGGCCAAATCAGTTAATTCTGATACTACATTCAACCACCTTTATCTCAAACTGGTTTCAGCCATTTTTAAACCGGTTTATGTTCACTGAGCATCTGTTCTGTTACCGGTTTAAATGAGTTTTTGATCACTTAAATTGGTTTAGATGTAATGTCTGTCCCTAGCCAAATTGGTTTAAACCTGTAACAGACCGGAAGTTCAGTGCACATAAACCAGTTTCAAAATGGCTGAAACTGGTTTAAGATAAACCTGACTGAATGTAGTATCAGACTTACCTGAGTTGGATCAAACTGGTTTGTGAAAGTTCTGTCCCAGACCCCTTCCTGGTTCAAGTTAAATCAGAGTTCTCCAATATCCCAGCATTCTTTACAGCCCAGGGCTGGGCTGAGCTGTCTGCTCCAGAGAGCAGGGCTGGCCCTGCCCCTCTTTTCCCTAGCTGGAGCAGTGAGCATTGGCTGAAAAGAGGGTGGGGGAGGGCAAGCCCAGCTGGGGATGCAGCCCAGTCTGCAGGGGCAGAGGGAGGGTGGAGACTGCAGGCAAATCCTGGCTGGGGTCTGGGGCCGGGGGGGTTAAACACCCCTTCCTCCGCTCATGCTTACTGCCAGCTGTGACTGTAGGCTACAAATCCCAGAGGCACTCTGAGCAACCCTGCAGAATCCTGCTGTTGTAATTCTGGGCTGCAAATCCCAGAGACCTTGGGGATAGCAGGAAAAGGAAGCAAACACACAGCCCATGCTGGCTACGTGCCAGAGAGTTGTTCTCTAGCACCCTTGGCTTCTGGCCTGAGCTACTATAGGCAATGTGACTTCATTTCCTGAATCAAAGGTAAATGTCGGTTCACTTCTGTTTCAATTTATTCTCTGTATTTTAAACAAACCTGCAAAGACTGGATCAATTCAGCCTCAGGCTTTTTGGCTGTCTGTATTTGGCCATAATGGGTTTATGTGGTGTGTAACATCACACATTGCCTTGATTAACACTGATTATCTGAGATCAAAATCAGGCCCATAATTATTTCCTTCAAATGAACCATAAATAAACATGCACCCTAGCTTCCCAAATTCTTGTGTAAATTCTGCTGGGTAAAATACTAGAGGTAAAGACTCTATTTTTAGTTGTTCTGTGGCCTATCAATGAACATAAGTTATCTTGTTCTTCTTTGTCTCTATGGATTACTCTTTAGGTTTTTGGATTTCTATTTCCTTCCTTTTCCTAGACACTTTTCTGGACCCCCTCCCCCCTCCTTTTTCCTAGTTTCTCTGATAAGAACCTTTCTCGGTGATCAGATTAGAGGTGCTGAATGCATGATGCACTATAGCACAATCTAGGTTTTCCTCCACCTCTCTCACCTGTAGAACATACCTGATGGATTGGGGCTATCCAAAACACAGAAGGAGGTACCATCCTGTATCCATTAGCTGAACTTAAGCCCCCTTTATAGAACGAACTCTGACTGACTTGCTTAGGGTTTCATACAGAGTCTGCACTAGTGTTAGAAATGTACTTTTTCCTGTGGGAACTGTATGATGTCCTCTGTCTTAGGCTAATGCCTTAATCACAAGCAATCCTTGTGAAGCATTGAAGTAATTATGTGGAGAGTGGGCCCAGCAGAAGCCTTTTCTCAGTGGGTGAATTTCACAAAGTAGGCCTAACTCACAAGAAGACATGTCTAACTTATTTTTATATAATGTTCCCATCTAATATTTTTTTTTCTATTCAACTAGCATGGTATTGTTTTGTTTCCCTGACCCAGGCAACTACTGGGAGTTTTTATGGAAAGTGACTTTACCACAATGTACAAGTGTCTCTCTTCCTATGCTTTCCTGTCTTCCCAAAAAACCTTAGCAGCTCTCTAAATCCTTCTGAACAAAATAAGATATTTGCTTTAATATATTTTGGCAAGATTTTTAATAGTGCTATTCAGGCTAACAGTTATAATTAACTCTTACACCCCCCTGTCATATTTTAGCTTCTATACATACAGTATCTTCACAACACCTCTGTTGGACAAGTGCCCTCCTCCTTTTACAGATAGGGAAACTAAGGCACAGAGGCTGAGTGACTCAATTACTGCCCTGCTGTGAATGGCATCATCAAAAGCATGTTGTGTTAGCATCTGTGTGCAACACGCATGAGTGAGAGATGTCACTGCTCTTTTATCAAACACATAAAAAACATACTAATTTCTTGAAGCTGAAACCCTGTTTGCTCTTGCTCAGATACAGACACTTACAAGTGAATGTCACCACTGTCAAAAGCAATATGCCAGTTCTGAAGCAGTCAGTGCCTGTGAAATTGTAACTTCACCTGACATCAACAGAGCAGCCATAACATGTTTCAGTCTTTAAATATAAAACCTAATGGGAACCGTTTGCTTTTTCAAAATATAAGCATGCATTTCTAGGTAAACATCTGTTAATGCAAAATGATTATCCAGGCAGGTTCCTGGAAACTGATGAAGGCAAAGGACTGTTTTTTAAATTTAAAATCATTTAAATTTTTCAGAGTAATTCTTTAGCAACATAATTTCTGTGTCATCAAGATAATACTCGCAATGTGCTTACACATACACTTCTTTCTGAAACGTCTTCCTGTTGAGATCATGCTGTGGATATGATATGATTTCTATTAGTTGCTGCTCTATTTGCAAAAAAACATTATTCTGGAAGGAAGAGGTTAATTTCACATCAGTTATTATCCTGTCCTAATATGAATTTTATTTAGGCAAAGCATCACCTACACATTTTATATTAAACAATTTTGAAAGGCTTCCACATAGAATGAACTCTAGCTTTAGAGATGAAAAGAACATATTTTCCCATGAATTCTCAGATGATGCAGAGCTGGTTTCAAGAGCAGCCATAAACTGCACATATATTTATTACAAGCAAAGCTTAATTTTAACCCTTTGGAATCTACAGGCTCCTAGATATCAGAGACATACACTGATCTTCACAGAGGTGTGAAACATAGTAACATAAACACATACATAATACACACAGATTCAATATTTCCTCAGTTAGGCTCAGTATACAATGACAATGTACTATTCATTCTCTGCCTATTAACCTGGGCAGTGATTAATACAGGAATAGGGAAGCAAACAAACAGGCTGGCTAAGAACATGAGTTGTTCTAAAATGCATCTGCATTATGCTAAAACGGAAGGGAGACAAGCTCAGGCTCTTCACTCACCTCCACAAAATAGAAGCAAGGCAATAGGGTGACGCTGTCCTTGGTTACTTTGCTTTTTTGCCTCTCTTTTGCAGACATGCTTGCTCAGGAGGTGAGCTGGGCTCTTCTTTCAGGATACGTGAGTGTTTTTTCCTCTCCCCCAGCCCTGGCTCCTGGTGCTGATGTCACATTCCCCAGAGGCACCTCTGGCGTGTGCAGCAGGAAGCTTCCCCCTTTGCAGCAATTCCCCTTGTGCCAGGCGCAGGCAGCCCAAAGCCTCTTCTCTGCGAGAGATTTTCTTTCCTCTCCCAACGCTGCTACAATGGCTTCCCTGCTTAGCACACAGTCCTGCTTTCTATGCATTAGCAGACCCACTGCACTTACAATCCTGAAGCTTCTTACAATATTCATAGGCTTGACGTCAAGAAACCTACTCCATGGAAAGAGGGAAGGGGCCCTGTTTTCCCACAGGAGGAGGGGAGAGTGTTCCTGCCACCTTAACCCCTTCATTCCTGAATTCATTATTTTGGAGCTTTCAGGAAGGAAGGGGAGGTCAGCTGGGTAACAGGACAAAGGACTATATGTTGGTGTTGGCAGAGTTTAGTGGAGAGGGGCAGAAGGGGGGTGTGAAGCAGGAAGAGCCTAAGGGCCAATGAGATTCCTGGGAAGCCAGTAGTGGAAGGTCTGTAGGAGGTACTGAAAGGGAATAGACAGGTGTGATGGAGATAGTGGCTTTTCCCCTCTCTCAGGTAGGCACAGCAATGGTTCTCCAGCCCTCCCTGCTGTAGAGCTGAAAGTAGATACAGCAGTTCCCTCCTCTCCTGTGGCCCATGGGGACAAAGGCACTTCATGTATGGGTGAACCATGAGGCTGCATTATTCCTCCCTTCCTCCTGGAAGCAGGAGCCTGAAAGGGTCCATGTGTCAAAAACTCACTCAAAGCCAAGGAGTCTGAGAGCAGTGCATTTCATTCAGGGCAGGAGTGCTACATGACCAGCAGTGTGTAACTTGAGCCATTGCACAGCACAACAGTCAGGTCCAGCTGGCTTTTGAGAGCCCCCCACACTGATAACTCAGCTGATGACAGATCTGAACATCATTGCCTGGGAGGAGTTGAGTGTGCAGTGCAGATAATGAATGGGATGGAGCTGCAGAAATAGTTATTTTTCCAAGAGGAAGCTTGTATACACAAAGTAATAGCATGAAATAAGTATTCTCGTACTCCCAGGTGGACACTTCTATTCCACAGAGGGCATTGTGGCAGGTTAGCTAAGGGCCTTGTTATACCTTATAGTGTGAGCTGCATGAATGTTGATTGGTGTTAGTGCTAACTCGAGTTTGAAGCAGTCCCACTACAGGCCGCCGGGGGCCTGGAGGACTGAAAGGTAAGAATCCCCCCCTCCCATTCTGAGCTTCCCTCCTGCCCCCTAGGGTCCTCCAGTTCCTTCCTGCCCCTGGGATTCCCCCCCTCTATCCCTTGGGGTTTCTGCCTGCCCACCCTGTCCCCAAGGCTCTCCCCTCCTATTACTTGTGACAGCCCATGCTGTCTGTTCCATGGTAGGAGGCAGGGAAGGGTTAAGGCTGCCAAACTACTGCTCTTCTCCATGGTAAGCCTGTCCAGACAGCAGTAGCAGTAGCTGGGCAAGCAAGGTAACCTTTCCCTGCCTGCTCCTCTGGGACAGACAGTGCAGGCAGCCACAAGTCGGGAAGTGGGGGTGAGGTCAGAGGGGCAGTGAGCTGGGATCTGGGGTGCTGGGGAGGGCAGGGGAGACAATGGACCCAATCTGGGCAAGTGCAAGACAGGGGGTGGAGGGATCGGGTATTTACATGACTACAATTTAGTGTTATGTGAGCTGGGTAACACGGATCAAAGATAATCCTGTCCTGGAGTGGCATAACTTTGAGCCGCCTAAAGAGTGCTTAAAACTAGTTTTAGGTGTTAACGTGCTGACAGTCCAGGTGTTAAGAGCCCCAGGAGCTGCCCAAAATTATTGTGTTAGTTAGTCTCTTAGTTTGCTTTGGAAGTTAATTAAGCACTAACGTAAAATAGTGAATAGCAAGTGCACATTCCACAGAGACCTTGCAAAGAATGGCGATTGTGCTTTACATTCACACCCTACCTTATTTTAACAAAGCATCCCTTGTGGCAACAAGCTGTTAGAAAAAGGGGTAGCAGTCCTCTAGAAGCACTACTCATCTTCGGGTGTCTGGCCCTGATGGGTTTGAATTTACTTTGTGTTAGATGGAACAGCACAAATCAGTTTTTGCCTACAAGGGGCTTCACAAGAGTATTAAGAAGTTCCAAGAGGCCGAGACTAGGGCCGGCCCTAATTAATTCCATAGCCCCAGTTTCACGATTTGCAGTAGTTTTCCAGTTTACTCAACAAAGCCAACTATGGGATCTTTAGCTGCAGTGGTTTTGACGTATATTACTGGATTGTGTGAATCTCTGTGGCTCTTGGCACCACATTGACCTTCAATAAATCTTTTTTCAAGGGATTAAATATTAACTTGTTCTTAGTACAGGGAGTCAGTCATTTGCATGCCTGTTACCTTTCTGGTGGTTATTTCTAAGGCTTCCTTTCTAGAACAGAACTATAATTCATGGTTACTTCTAATAGGAACACAAAGTATCATTAAAAGTGGATAGAGCAGACAGTTGAATCAGTTGTTGCCAAGGGGACATATGTTGGTTTTTGAGTGATAAATGCATGTGTTCCCTAAGCTAATGCTTATTGGAATATGTATTCCCTATAAAATGGCCAGTTAGCCAGGTCATGGCTGGATTGTCCAAATAAATCATAACTGATTTATTTAATAAACCTTACTCTGTACCAGATATATGTATTTACTGAGGTTTTATGCAGAACAGACTTTTAGATTGTCTGATGATAGTGGCCTATAAGGACCGAGAAAGAAACACTTATATTAGATAATACTGGGAGGATCACTCAGGCATTAACCGTTTTAAAATGGGACATGAGTCATGCTGAGCTTCCCCAACTGATAGAAGAAAGAACACCCCACACTTGTATTTGGATCTCACCTTGCAAATGGGAACAGTGTCTCAAGGTGATGTAGTACCCTGGGACAAAAGACCTAGAATTTATGACTGTATTAGGAGGTAGAAATGGTGGTGGTGGTTAGAAATATCTCTTAGGTCATCCCATAGATGCTTTAGTCTTCTAGAGAAGAGAATAAGTACTCTGGTCACGTAAATACGTGAGTAATCTCAGTAGAAGTTGGGAAGTGGTGGAAGTGCCTAGGAATTTTTTTTGCAGGCAGCGGTGACTATATTCATGGGATGGGGGGATTAATTTTAACTATCAAAACAAACTAGCTCCCATTCCCAAAGGGTTCCTAGTGAAACAAGTTGTGCCATCTAGAAGGGAAAAAGATGGCATGGCCATGGCAAGGATCCAACAGGATACACAATCAGTCTAGTTATGTTTACCAATGAGGGAGGATCATACATCAAAAATAGTTCCCACTTTCTAAAGTGGGAACATGTTGAAAAAAATGATAGGGTTGCTGCACAAGGGATCACACCAACAGCTGACAGTAGCTATTTTTACCATAAGGATCGAGAATTCATGATTCCTGTCTTTTCATTTAATCAATTGTCTCAATTATTTACTACAAAACATTGGGCTCCAGCTAGTCTCTATCAAATATGCAGATACATGATCAAAAAAATCTGAAGGATATGCCTGCAGATGTGGTGAGAAATACCAATTCTCTCCATTGTCTAAGTTTTTTTCTCCCCAGGTTTGAGGAATTGTTTGTATAATATATAATAGTATCCTGGCACTGAGTGTGGTATTCTCAAATTTAGCATGTTGTCCAAAGAACCTATTCTTTCTCAGATTGACTTGCTAGTGAAGACTCCATACTGCTCTCCGCTACAGCTGGTGGGAGTTGCACCACTGTAACTGAACACAGTATTGAGCTCTTATTTGCCATATGCAAGAATGATGTACATGAGTTTCACACTCACTAAAGGATGCTGTGCAATTTCTGCCAATATCTTGAAAGGAGCTGAGTTACCATGAGCAATTGTTCCCATAGTGAAACGTGTTGTTTTGAGATGCTATTTATGGATCAAATCCTACAGTCTTTTCTCTGGAAAACTCCCATTGATGCCAATGAGGATTTTACTTATGGACAGTGGAAGATATATAATGCATATACTTTGGCATATGATATTATTTTATAATGCATGTAAAATGTCTACAGCTGCCTGAAAACTCAGTTTTGTGTAAGGGTGGCTGCAGCATTCTGGGAGAGGCAGTCAAAGTTCATCTCTTGTTCTTCCTTTTTTCTAGGGAGAAATACTGGCAGTATGCTATTAGTTTGAGTAGTGATTCTCAACCTTAAAATCCTTTCAAGGCTGCTTCATGGTACCACACAATATTAGCACTGTTAGGTGTGCAATATGATTTACAAAATAAACCCAGAGATTTCAAAGAGGAATCCATAGTGTTAAAAGCATTCTGACCTGTTGAGGTCTTTCTGAGTTCTTTGCAGTAGACAAAATGATTCAGTATTTTTCCATAGTAAAAAACAGTGAAAACTAAGAGGTAGTTGATAGATTTTTGATAGGTTGATAGTTCCCCACCCCCCATGCCCCAGCCCCGATAGCAATACTGAACCTTTTGGAAAAGGGTAAAATGAGTTCTGTTGGTTTCCTTAGGCAGGTGTTTCATCACACATGTATACATTGGAGACAAGAATGGATCTCTGGGATGTGGTCTTAGTGGTCTTCAAGGACAAGCAGTGTGTAATACCAGTGCTTGGAAAAGAAGGTTTGAGCTGATCTTTGCTATCTTACTGTTAATAAGATGTTGTTGGCAGGAGGG